GTGTTTATTTTTTGTATATGTGTAGGTATGTCGTGACTTTGTTGGCCTGTGTGCCTTGGGTGTCTCTATGTCTACTATGTGTGTTCATGTTTAATGGTTGTCAATGACTTTGATATCTATTATGTGTGTATTATATGTTATTATGTGAGAATAAGTGCATTATGTGGGTGTGCCTCTTTGTCAATAATGTTTGTATATTAAGAATATTTAGTGATTTTCTAGGACTTAATACATGATTGCTATTATAGGAAGGTTACTATTAGTCATTGTATGAATTACTTGCTACATATTTGGATGACTAACTACTCTTTTTGTTTCTTCATTATCTTATGGTTGTAGACTCCAAGAATTGGTCTAAAATGATCAAATTGGTTGTAGATACTTATTTTAAATGATCAAATGTATGAATTGCTTCTTACATATATTGATGACTAATTATTCTCCCCTTTTCTCTTTTGCAATATTCATTGGTTGTTGACTCCAAGATTTGGTCTAAAATGATCAAAGTTATCATAGTTATTTTAGTATGTTTATTTATTTCTTTAATTTATTTTATGTGGCACATGTGATACTTATTTTTAATGCTCATATTTTACATAATAGTTATGTAATTGAGAATCTAGAGTGTAAATCTTGCTACCTTAATGTTTGTATTCATCCTTTGGTATTTATCTAATCGTGTCTATAAATAAGCACATGAATTTTATTGAAATGAATGTCTATTACTAAAATAGATATTTGAATGTATATATAAGTCTGAATTATCTAATTCATCCCAGATTAAAAATAAAGAAATTACGTTAGTTAATAAAAATAAATTTGTTATTTATTATATATATATATATAAATTATCCTTTAATTATCTAATTAGTACTTATCCTCTAACTAATTAGAATCTATATCTTATACTATTTTTCTTTTAATTAATACTCATATTTTTTCTATTCAATCAGAGTTCATGCTTTTTCAGAGTCTAAAATTATTGTATTTATCAAATTAAGATAATACACTTTAATTTTAGATATCTTAGTCCCAAAATAATTTAAGAACAAACAATATGAATTGTGTATTATATTAAAAAATTAACAATTATTTGAGTTTTATAAATAAGAATTGAAATAATAATCTCAAAGAAATTAAATTTTTTAAAAGAATATCTAAAACACTTTCCTTGAATTTTATTTTTAAAAATCATTGTTTAAAAATATTTTTTAAAAACACTTTCCTTAAAAATATCTAGTCTAATTTATACACAAAGAAAGTCTTGTATTTCTTAATGGTTTTAATAATTCATTTTGTATTTTTTTTATGAACGTTTAAGGTTTCTTAATTAAACTTTTAAACTAAAAAAATAATAATTAGGTCTTGTTATATTTTATAATTTAAATATTTTTTATATTTGCATATCGATTTAAAAGGTATAAGAATTTATATATGTAATTTGCAAACATTTGTACCAGGTCAGCCCGCGTTATTCTTTAAATAGAAGGGAAGGCTACCAAAGCTGTCAATCACCGTCTCTGAGTCACTCATCATTCGGTCGGGTTTTCCACTTTCGAGTCTCTCAATTTCTTCGATAGCAACAGCCACAGATCAATGTCACGTCTTCCGTTAGATTTCTTCCCTCTTCTTTTCCTTTTCTGTTGTCTCTGCAATTCCAGCTCACTGCTTTTCAAATTTTTGTTTGTTTTCTTTCTGATTGTTGTTACCTTTCTTCTTGATTCTATTTATCTTGGCTAAACGATCATTTTGGTACAGCTTTAGAAACTATATACTAAAATGGGGCTGGTTTGAAACATATTACACCTTTGGGGCTGTTTTCTATGGTGTCGTTAGCGACACTAGTGACACGTGACAATTTTGGGTCTGAATATAAGCCATGAACGCCATATTAGTAGAGTCGCTGTAGTTGGTGGAGTCTAAAAACAAGTCGTTATAGGCTATAGCGACTCAATTCGGCTAAAACTGAAGTCGCTATAGCCTATAACACCACATTTATGTAAAATTGAAGTCGCCATAGCGCCTGTCTTAAAAAAATACATTTTATTTATTTTAAAATTACATTTTTATAAAACTTAATTTTCTTTTTATAATTATATAATAAATAATTCATTTTATTATATTTATTTTACATTATTATTATTTTCCCTTTTTTTATTTTTTTCTTTACTCAATGTCGCTATGAGCTACATAATTTTTTTAAGCCCATCAGCTGTGGTGGCCAGCCTATAGCGACACTGATCCAGCCCAACCAAGCAAAAAAAAAAAAAGCCACGTGTCATGGGTGCCGCTATGGGCCATAGCGACACCCAATAAAAGAGCTCCAAAGGTGTAAAATGTTTCAAAACAGCCCCATTTTGGTAATAAGTTTCTAAAATTGCACCACAATGGTCGTTTAGCCATTTATCTTTGCTACTCGCTAGGGTTTTTCTCATTGTTGTGACCTTGTGCTAATGGAAGGTAGAAACTAAAGTGATGTTATGGGTTTCTCTACTTTTCAATTTCTTGCTGATTCTTACTTGTCTTTGTTACTCGTCAGGATTTTTCTTTAAAACCTTTTTTTCTAGGGATCTCATCCTCATCTGTGTTGTATTTTTCTATTTTCTTCTTTTATTGAAAAAGAATTAATTGATTTTGCATAATGCAGTATTACAAAATCAATTTAATGGTAATATATATCCAGAAGTGACATGGATATATATTCAGGTATGTAATGATTCCTTGGATTGTTCATATGAAGATGATATATATTCTGGCTCCAAACATAGAGGACTAAGAGAGAGGCCAAACCTTAAGGTGTTAATTGGAAAAATAAGGCAGCAGGTGAACCTAGTTATAATTGTCATTTCTTTTTGTTTGTTACGTTGGATATTCTGTCTTGTTGCCAATCTGTGTAACCAGTTTTATTTTCATACTTGAATGTCTGTATACGGTATCAAAAGCTTTTAACCACTGATATATTATGGTGGTGAGGTCTCGCTCGATTATTGAAAATTAAAGGATTCATAAGGGAAGGCGATGACAAGGTATAATTAATTGCTTTACTTAGAAGTAACCTATCCTTATAGCTTTTATATATAATAGTGGAAATGAGGTCGTGTCATTATGTATTTTATTTAAATAAAAAAAATGTTAAGTAAATGAAAGTTAAGATACAAAAAATAGTCATTTATAGTTGAAAAGACAAAATAGTCTAATACATGAAAGATGCCTTTATTAATAGTACTGATGAAAGAACTTTATATATTTATAATTATCAAATTGTGCTCATAAATTTCATGGTGGAAATTGCCGGATTTGTTACCTCTAAAAGTCAACAAATGATGCATACAATTGAGTAGTGATCTTACCAGAAGGTGATTTTAAATACTAAAATGCTAATATCATATTTCTAGACATTATCGAATACAATTCCTATTATTATGAGATCCATATAAATTTAACTCATTAATAGAAAGTGTTACCTCTATATGTTTTTCTAAGTTGATTATTTTAAAAATATGCAATTTTCAATTTTTTAAGATATAAATAATTATAATCATTTTTTTAAAAGTTTAAATATATTGTTCTCGTATCAATTTATAGCATAAAGAATAATTAAATAAGAGAGCTTTTAAATTATTAGGGTCTATTTAATGGCGAGAGATTACAATTATATATGAAAGATATGGAGTTTAAACTTTAAAATTATGATTGTAATTTTTATTGGTAAAAAAAATTAGAAAGCTTTTATAAAAATTAAGTGCATGGGTTAATTTTAACTTTAGAAAAATTCAATTTATTTTATACAATTATACTTCACTGATCTACCTTATCTTTTAGAAGAAAAAAATATTAAAATATTAATTATTCACTATTCATTTAACAACTATAACTTTATATTAATTTAGTTTTTGAAATCAAATTCTTTATTATTTTTTTTAAAAGGAGACTTTTTAAAATGAGACCACTAAAGGAGTGTATGAAAAGAAAAAAAATCGAATAAGATAATTTTTAGACTATATTTTCTGTAAAGTATAATTATATATTAAATATTTTAAAAAATATTTATATATAAATTAGATAATTATATTAAACGAGCTTAGGAAGTTTTTTTTAATGAAAATATTTTTTAAGAGTTTCTTTAATCACTTATTTTTCTTATTTATAACTTGTGTGACTGTTTTACTCATCATGGGTTCTTCTCTCTTCGAAGTTCAAATGGCCGTAGAGAAACAAGAGTAGGACAACACCATGAACAAAGAAGCCAAACAACACAACCTTTCATAAATGGATTGTACCTCTTCCATCTGTATCTTTTCTCTTTACCTTGTAATTTCTTTTCCTTTTTGAATTGAACTCGATTCTTGTTTCTATGTTTTCTGTTTGTCTCTATTTTTTTCTTCTTCTGTTTGGAGTGCTATGAGAGACTGGATCCTTCGCTGCCCTTATTGCTGTTTTTCCTCTTTCTAGGTCTTGGTTCTTTCTTGAACTTGCGTTTTCTTGTTTCAAAAAATTTCGCTGTCTATGGTACTAAAGCATAATAATTTGTATTCTCAAGTCTCTTGTTTAGGGGCTAGTCCCATAATTTTACTTTTTTATTTTTATGATGTTTTATTTTAACATATTTCTTTTACAACATGTTAACATCTTGAATATCAATAAACTAGATTTAACAGTTGGCACCAAACTTACTAGATTTTGTTCATTTAGTCTTTGTTATTCAGTAGTCATTTTCATTTATTCTTGTCAATTGCAGGTTATATCAGCAACAAACTGTGCGGATATTCTTTATCGCGCCCTTATGCATTCTTGGCTACTGGATGGTAAAATTGAGTTTTTGCACCCAATTGAAGAAGGGCTCAGATTCTACAGTTCTAGAGTCTTCAAACTTTATCTGCTGACATATTTTTGGTACAAAACATTTAATGACTGCTCTCACTTTGATATTCTAGATCCATTCAAGGAAGGATGAATGTTCACCTTGATGTCAACTTTGAAGAACTTGCTTCTTCTACAGGTGATTTCAGTGGAGCACAACTAAAGGTTGTATGTGTTGAGGTTGGCATGTTGGCTCTGCACCGTGATGCAATCGAGGTTTGTTTTCTTCCGTTATACAACAACTTAAATAACTTAAAATCAATTCTTTTAAAAGAAAATGAGCACCATAATAAATATAGGGGGTATTAATGGGTTTGATCTTTCTCTTTGAAGTTTTTTGATTTTTAACGTTTGTTGTTTTTATGAACATTAACATAATCTATGACATACATACTCTAAGTATATATGAAATTTATTGAAATGCGACTCACTGAAATTTGTGATTTTCAACATACTTAAGTTAATGATAGAGTAGTAGACAAAAAAGATTCCAGATTGTTTAAAATTTATCGAAAATAACAAGTCTTAGTTGGGATTCAGAAGTTATCAAGATTTGTAATTTTCAATAAATTTCAGATAATAAAGAGTGTAAAACACAAAAAACTTTGAGATTGTTTGAAATTTGTTGAACATAATAAATTGTAGTGAGATGCGGGAGACATCAACATTTGTAATTTTCAACAAATTGCAAACAAAATAAAAAATATTAGACTCAAAATCACTTGAGATTGTTTGAAGTTTATTGAAAATAATAAATCTTAGTAAGATGTGGGAGTCACCGAGATTTGTAATTTTCTATAAATTTCAACTATTAATAGAGTATTAGACAAAATGTTTGATATTACTTGAATTTCAGCTATTAATCTCAGTTGGTTGCTTAAACTTATTTGGTTAGATATAGATTTAAATTTTGAACTTGAATTAAATTGACATGTTTAACCCAATATTAACTAGAATAAGTTTTTTTTTTTTAAAAAAAACTTATAGAAAATATCATGCCTTTGTTTGAGTTTTGAAAATTATTATAAGCTGACAATATATATTGAATTTATTATATTCTTTTAATATGTATAATAAACTAACTCAAAATAAATTGTTTTTTCTTTATATAATTAACTGTTCATTTATTGAATTTAATTTTCTAATAAAATAAATATTTTTCTATTTTCTATATGTTTGTCTAAATTGATTATTTTAAAAATAAGCAATTTTCTAACTTAAATAAATAATTTTACAATCATTTTAAATAATAGAGTTTCTGAATCACTAGGATCTATTTAATGGTGAGCGATTGTAATTACATACATAAGATATGGAGTTTGATCTATAAAATTGTTATTGTAATTTTTATTCGTAAAAAAAAATTAGAAAGCTTTTGTGAAAAGTAAGTGCATGAGTTAATTTTAGCTTTAGAAAAACTTAATTTATTTTATACAATTATACTTGAAACATCTGCTTAATTTATCTTTCACTTTAGAAGAAAAAATATTGAAATATTAATTATTCATTATTCATTTAACTACTATAACTTTATATTAATTTAATTTTTGAAATCAAATCCTTTATTATTTTATTTAAAATAACATCACTAAAGGGGTGTATGAAAAGAAATGGAAAGAAAAAAACAGTAGAATAAAATAATTTTTAGATTATTTTTTCTGTAAAAATTAATTCTATATTAAAGATTTTGAAAACTATTTATATATAAATTAGAATAATTATGTTAAACGAGTTTAGGAAGTTTTTTTTAATGAAAGTGTTTTTCAACAGTTTCATTTAATCACTTTTTATTATTATTTATCATTGTTATTTGTTAAATTTAATTTTATTATATATTTAAAAAATTTCAATGATTAAAATATTTTTATATAACAATATAAGTTATTTATAATATATTAAAAATATATTTTCTATATAAAGATATTTATTAATTATAAATTTGAATTACATAAAATAAATATTTATCCCTATATTACACAAGTTAAAATATTAATAATTATAAATTAACGAATTTATTAAATATTTATCTCTGTATTTTAAGTGTTGTTATTTGTCTGAGTTCCTTTCTATAGTGCCTCTTTCATGTGCTTCTTTTCTCTTCGAAGTTGAAATGGCCGCCGCAAAGAAACAACAACAGAAGAACACAATCAAGCCAAAGAAGACGCACAAGTAAAGTAGAACCTTTCATACATCAATTGCATTTACTTCGTTGATTCTCATTTTCCTATTTGTTATATGAACTTCTTTGTTTCGCCACACATAATACCTCTTCCATCTGTTGCTTTTCTTTTCTTTACCTTGTGATTGCTTTTCCTTCTCTGATTTTGATGTTAACTTTATTCTTGTTTCTATTTTTTCTGATTCTTTTTTTTTTTCTCTATGAAGTTCAAGGAGACTAGATCCTTCTCTGTCCTTATTGTTGTTTTGATTCCTCTGTCTGGGTCTTGGTTCTTTCTTGAACTTGCATTTTGTTTGTTTTCAAGATTGGTGATTTTTTTTTTCTTTTATTGATTTTGATTGCATGCAAGAACAAGAATGATGACAGAGGATACAGATCTTTTGTATGCAAATTTCAATGGTCATGATTTTGATTTAAAGCAAGAATAAGAATGATGACAGAGGATACTAATCCGCTGTATGCAAATATCAATGATCCCATTGTATTTCAGATGTTTGGACTTGGGGGTGTTGGGCTAGGCTGGTGTGTGATCGTTCTCTGTCACATGGTAAGTGAGTAATTTGAAATTAAACCACTACAAGAAAAAAGATTATTATCTACGGAATATTATCTACGGAATTTTTTCCGTAGATAATGCTTAGTTATCTACGGAAAATTATCTACAGAATTTTTTCCGTAGATAATTTTTAGTTATCTACGGAATATTACCTACGGAATTATTTCCATAGGTAATATTTATTATCTACGGAAATTTCCGTAGATAACTTATCTACGGATGTGCCATTTATTTTGTTTGCTCTAATAGTTCATCAGTCTAAAAGAAAATGTTTGATTGGAAAATATGGATTATTTACTTAAATTTTTCCTTGTATTTGTGTCTGTGTGTGCTTTGTGTGTCTCTTTGCATGTAATATGTGTCTTTACGTGTATGCCATGTCTTGGCATTTTTGTAATTTATCTTTGTCTCTGGCTGTGTCTGTATTTAGATGTGTTTGTATTTGTGTGTCTCTTTGTGTGTCTTTATTTGTGCGCTTTTTTTAATCTCTAACTCCCTCTATGAGGGTGTGGGTGACTTTGTTTGTGTGTGTAACACCCTTACTACCCCAACACATACATTGTAATAATGTAATTAAATTAAGAAAAATAAACTTTCAAAGTTGGTAAAAGGGTTCACATAAAACCTTTAGAAACATTCTTCGATATCCAAAATATTTTGAAAATGAAACTTGGAAAATAAAACATAAGAGGTTATAAAATGTTTTCAAAATAATAAGTATAACTCCATTTACAAATAAATTTCATGTCCTAGAAGTCTTCTGCCCCGATAGCATACCCATAACTCAACTGTTGGCATTCTAGATGCCACTCACAGCCAGATCTTCCTCACCTAAAACATCCACAAATTATACGGTGAGAAAAGAAAACATCTATATGAAAAGCACACAAGAAAAATTCACAATATCGTTTCATCATAACTCTTTACTTATTAAAGTATTTACAAGCATTTCTATCTATCCTAATTCTATCTGATGGCAACTCCAAGTGGAAAGGATTAATGTTCTCCACTCCTTGAGTTGCTCGGCCTTATGATCACTTCCTTGAGGTGATGAAGAGATGGATTGTTCATGGAAGGAAAGAAGAAGATGAAGATGTAAGGATAAGGAAGCACTTGAGCTAAAGGAGCAAAAGATTGCTCACAAAGTTTGACCTAATTTCCTAGAAGAAAGCTAAGAAACTTTCGGTCAAGGTGACTTTGAGGGAGAGACTTGGCTGAATAATTTTCAGAAATCTCTATTAGCATTCAAAGTGTTTACAAGATGGCGCCAACTCCATGTGCAACAAGTGGCGCCAATTTTGAATTCAAATTTGAATTTGAATTCAAATTTAGATGTCCACTTGCATCCTCCATGTGCAGCCACCCTTTCTAGAAACTTAATTGCATTTAGAGCTAATTTGGAGTTCATTTAAGTGTTCACATGTGCAGCCCCCTTTGGCACAAACCATGTGACTCAAATGAAACTCTAATTACTCCTAAATGTAATTAGATTTCTATGATCTATGCCTAATACTTAGTTCCTTTAAATTCCTATGCTAATGGACTAAATATAATGGCCAATCAAATACAATGGAAAGGAAAAATTACAAGAGTAAAAATGAGCCCAATATTAGGTACCAAAAGCCCAAAGGCCCACAAAGCCCAAAACTAGGCCCAATAAGCCTATGGCCTAAAATGCTATCCTAGATGGTCCAAAATACAAGACTTAAAATATAGAAAACCTATACTAACATGATATATACAAGATATAAGGAAATAGCTAAAACAAGATATAGCCCATGTGAAGCTCAACTTGGGCCTTTCAAGCCCATCGGGCCCATTGGGCTTTGACTGGCCCAACCCTTCATGTCTAGCCAACTCCTCTTGGCTCCTTCAATGTGTCATCCCTTGCCTTCCTAGGCATGATTCCATCACTATCAATCATGCAACATCTTCACATCACAATTCACAATCACACCAATCCATCACAAATCTCGCAATTAACCCTATGTCAAGGTCACGCCTGTAGCATCTCTTACTTGAGGTCGTGTCACCCCCGACATAAGCATTAATTGCCTCACACATCCCACCCTATGCCAAGGTCACGCCTGTTGCATCTCTTGCCCAAGGTCGTGCCACCCCCGACATAAGCATGAGAAATCACACATCCTACAATGTGCCAAGGTCATGCCTGTAACATCTATTGCTCGAGGTCATGCCACCCCCGACATAAGCATGAGGAATCACCCATCCCATACTATGCCAAGGTCATGCCTGTAGCATTTCTTGCCTAAGGTCGTGCCACCCCTGGTCACAAGTGGGAGGAACCACAATCACATTCTCATTCACATCCACATCCACATCCACATCCACATCCAGTCAAAAATTCCGACGGATTTATTTTTTGTCAGAAATTTCTGACAGAATTTTCTGTCAAAAATTTTTCGTCGAAAATTTCTAACGGATTTATATTTCCGTCAGAAATTTCTAACAAAAAATTTTTGACGGAAAATTTCGTCAGAAATATCTGACGAAAATATAAATTCGTCAGAAATTTTTGACGGAAATATCCGTCAAAAAATTCTGTCAAAAATTTCTGACGAATCCATATTTGTCAGAAATTTTCCGTAAAAAATTTACATTTTTCTTGTAGTGACTTATTTGTCCAAAGGAAAATAACGATGTTGCCTCCTAGATGGAGTAAATTGACCATGTTTAGCTTGACTAGTGTTAATCAAATCCATATTCAATACTCGGTCAAAAAAGGTAATTTATTTGTCAAGTTTAGGGACTGAGGGATTTAAGCAATTGCCATGGATTTCTTGAGTTTCTTTTCTGAATTTAACATGCCAGTCGCTTTAGGTTATTAATAAAATGGTTTTTTTTTGTGATTATGCTTTTTCATTGATTTTTATTTAATGCACTTCTATTAGGTATGCTTCAATTAGGGAGAACATCCACATTGGTCTATGCTTTGGAAGCCTTGCAGACTAGAGGGACATCTTTTTTGCTAATCATCTATGCAAATTCTGCTTTGGTAATTTAGTTATCAAATTAAAAACACAAGTATCCATCTCAACATCATATAATGTCTTTATGTATGTCGTATCATTAAATATGACTACATATTGGAATATATATGCATGTGTGTGCCATTTATTTTGTTTGCTCTAATAGTTCATCAGTCTAAAAGAAAATGTTTGATTGGAAAATATGGATTATTTACTTAAATTTTTCCTTGTATTTGTGTCTGTGTGTGCTTTGTGTGTCTCTTTGCATGTAATATGTGTCTTTACGTGTATGCCTTTTGACTATTATTTTATTCTAAATTTAATTTGCAAAGTTTATGCTAGTATTAAAAGTTACTTAATTATGAGTATTGTTGACTTTTAGGTTTAATTTAATCTGTATTACTTTTTCTATAAATTGACTGGAGTGCTCAATTATGGGGATGATCTCTCACCTTGAGGTCAATTACTTTCTACACATATATATGACTAATTCCTTGCCCCGATATTTTCCGACTTTAGGATCCTAGATTAGGTCTAAAATAATCAAAGTTCTTCAACATTCTTGAACAATTCAATGTTGCATCCCTTCTTGATTTAAATTGAAAAGCTATTCATTTTCTAAAGTTGTAAATTTATTCCCCTTGAAACTCAAGAATACCATACTTGTTGAAATTCTTTGTATTTTATTCTTCTTTTTTGTTGGTTGTTTTTAACCATATTTATAAAATACATTATTTCTAGCCTTTGACGTATTTGGTACATCCTTTTCTGAATCTTTTTGTTTATTTTTTGTTATTTTTGTTGTTGAAGCTGTTTTTTTGTAGAGAAGTCGTCTGCAATGAGGCTTTTATCTTATCTGTGTGTTTCCCCCTCCCCTTTATTTCAATGAGATGCCAGAATCCGATAATCCATTTGTCTTTGTCATTATATCAACATCGTACAAGACTTCCTAAGGTTTTGTTCATATAAATGTTTTTATTCCAATTTCTGTCATCTTTTTTTTACATATATATATATATATATTATATTTATATATATATATATATTGTGAATTTATTATCTGCATGTATAACCATTGCAAAATACTTACATTTGATGTTAACAAGATAAAAAGAGGGATAAAGTGTCTACATTTTAAATCCTTTTTAAAGTTGGTTATCATTTCAAACTGGTTTTTAAAACAATTATAATTAAAACTTAGTCTTAAAATTGATTATATTTTTCAATTAGTTTATGATTTGAAATATATATTAAAACTAGATTGATTATAAAATTGATTTTGAATCAAAAATTGATTCTAAAGCCAAATTAGTTTCACAAGACTTTTAAACAGATTTAAAAATAATAAACAAGTTTGTATTTAAGATAAATTTTAATATTATTTATTTTTTTAAAATTAGTTTAAAAAACTGATTTATGATTTGGAACTAGCTTGGAACCAACTGGATTTCTAATCATAAACTGGTTTTAAAACCAATTTTACACCTTATTTTGAAAATCCAAACAAATTATTTTCTCGATTAGAATGAACAATGTTGGAATTGCTCAATTAGCATGATGATTTTAGTAGTGATGATAGAATTAAGGCTTGTTTTTATTTGTTATTGGATATATTTCTTAAACTAGCTTGATTGCTGTCTGTGCATGTTTAGGGCTGGCCCCATAATTTTACCTTTTTTTTTAATTTTTATGATGTTTTATTTTAACAATTTCTTTTACAACATGTTAGCATCTCCAATATCAATAAACTATATGTAACGGTTGGCACCAAACTTACACGATTTCGTTCATTTAGACTATTATGTTATTCAAGAGTCATTTTCATTTATTCTTGTCAATTGCAGGTTATAGCAGCAACAAACTGTGTAGATATTCTTTACCCTGCTCTTATGCATTCTAGGCCATTGGAACATAGATTTGAGTTTTTGCACCCAATTGAAGAAGGGCTCGGATTCTACAGGTTTAGACTCTTCAAATTATCTGCTGACATATTTTTGGTACAAAACATTTACTGACTGCTCATAGTTTAATATTCTTGGTCTATAGGTGATTTCAATGGATGATAATGCAGGTTGTATGTCTGTGTTGAGGCTAGCATGCTGTTGGCTTTGCGCTGTGATGCAACTAAGGTTTGTTTTCTTCTGTTACACAACAACATAAATAACTTAAAATCAATTTTTGTAAAAGAAAATGAGCAGCATAATAAATATAGGGGGCATTAATGGGTTAATAATGATTGTTAGATACAAAACATTGTTTGAAATTTATTGAACACAATAAATTTTAATGAAATGCAGTAGACATCGAGATTTGTGATTTTCAATAAATTTTTTAGAATAATAAGAGGATATGTCCTGCTTGTCGGGGTATATGTAATTGCAAGACTTGCATGCGGAGTGATAATTCGATAAAGGTATTTGAGTGTTGCTAGCTTAGAATTCAATGAGGCATGCGGTTGAAGTTTAGCATTTGTAATTTCTTTTCTTGTTTGTGAAATTTCTTGTTTTGCTGGGATTTAGGTTTGGATATGCGAGATACTTGTTCTCGATAAATTGTAGTATCTCCATGTGCTGCTGTCGTCGGTGCTTCCAGTAGTAAAGCAGATCCACCATGAACAGTGTTTTGAAGTTGGGATTGAAAAGAAGTTGCGTGGTACGGTTCATTTTAAGATATAAGTTTAAATATGTTTTTAGTCCCTCAGATCGAAGGTAAACTTATTTTTAGTCTCTCAAATTTAAAATTAATCTGTAATTTCAAAAAATTATGTTTTTAGTCTTTATACTCAATTTTTTCTAGGGAATTTGTCAAATATTGTCGTACAAAATTTATATACTAGTATCTCTGTTAGTGAAAATATAACATTAAATATATAAATGTTCCAATTTTTACTTTCAAATGTGTTATTAGTGACATGAGGAACTAAAACAAGATTTTTAAAAGTTACAAAGACTAAAAAATAATAATTTTAAATTTGATGGACCAAAAATAAATTTAGCTTAAATTTGAGGGACTGAAAACACATTTAAGCCTAAGATTTATTTGGATTTGCTTCCAGCTTTGTAATCTTAGTGTTGGTTATCTATGTTGCTTTGCTTTATGTGTGGTGAACAAGTATTTGATGATGTTTTCAAAATGGTTTCCCTTTCAAGTGCTGAAATAGATCTTCCAAGGATAAAATTGAACATAGATGAGCAGATGTGCTGGTACGTTTATAACCAATTTCATAGAATCGTTGGTTTTAGTTAGTGCTGAAGCATTATGCATATTCTCCTTATTCATGGATAGTATAGGGATCATTAATTATTTTGATTTGTTTTCTTGCAGCAATTTCTGTAGGATACTGTTAGTCACTTAGCCTCAATTAACTTAAGGGGGGGTGAATTAAGTTTTCTAAATTTTCCTCTTATAAAAACTTTTCCGAATTACTTTCTTATCAATTTATTTCCTTAGACAAATTTGTATGCAAAGAATGAATAATGATGCAAACTACACAATTACAATTAATAACAAGAAATTAAAAGTGTATGGAAAGAAGAATTGCAAACTTGATTTTATATTGGTTCGGCCAATCCTGCCTACATCCAGTTCTCTAGTCTCCCACTTGAGATTTCCACTACTCTTGTAAACCTTACAAGAATTGAATCCTCCAACACCTCTGAACTCCCTTTCCTTGTGTTGAGATTCAAACACCAACAAGGAGAAAAACCCTTTCTCCTTTATAGATCCAATGATCTATTGAGTTTTACAGAATGACTCTCTTGAAGAGTGGATATTACAATTTTATGATCTTAAAGAACTCTTTATAGATTTTGCAAATGACTTTTGGCCAAGTAGATTTTGTAAATGATTTTCACAATAGATTATTAGTCACCTTTCTCTGAAAAATTATAGGTATTTATATAGAATTGTTTCTTAGGTTATGTCTTTTCATGAAGAGTTGTAACTTTCTATAATTTTTCAGAAAATAGGCTCAGTTAATCAATTACAAGACTTGGTAATCGATTACAATGGTTTAAGTTCAAAATGTTTGAAACATTGTATAATTTAAATTCAAATTTTGAAATTTTATCTTCCGGTAATCGATTACAATGACTGGTAATCGATTACTAGAGAGCATTTTAACATTTGAACCTTGCACAAAGAAGTTTTCTTTCTCTAGTAATCGATTACATCAAGTGGTAATCGATTATCGGACACATATCACCTGATTTGGCTTATGAAAACTTAAGATATAGAAAGCTTCTATTTTCCAGTTAAAAATATTTTTGTTTAATCTTTTGAATACTTTTTTTGCTTTCTTTTCAAACAACTTATTCATATATTAAAAAAGATTAAGTTTAGGTTTTCTTGAAATCCTTATTTTAATGGCCAAGTGAAATTTGCAAATTCTAAAAGTTCATTTTACATACTAAGCTAAGTAGTCAAGACTTATCTATTTATTACTTGAGATCTTGCTTCTTGATCAGCTTGCTTTAACTTGACCTTTATTTTCTTCAATGTTTTGGCATCATCAAAACTTTGTACATATTTTCTTCCACATTCTCCCCCTTTTTGATGATGACAATTCACTGTAAAGGGAAAGAAAATAAAAAAATATATTTTGATCACTCCCCCTTAGTAAAACATTGATTGAAGTTACTTTTATAGTTGTACTTATGTTTTGAAAAAGATTGTAGAGATCAATGTTTATATTTTAAAACATAAGTGTCAGGTTGGGCATCAAGAATATTTTAATCAAAATATTTTAGTCAAACTTAGCCCAAAGTAATGTTAGAAAGAAAATAAACATTTTCTTTTCCTTTGCAGTCTTATCTCTCCCCCTTTGGCAACATCAAAAAGAATATAATAACAAAAAAATCCAAAGGTAAAGAGCAAGCCAAAAATTTTCCATTTCAAATCTTTTTTGTAAATTCATACTATTTTTGCTTTGATTTAAAAAAATTCAATTTTCCATTCCATCATGGACATTTCAAAATCACTTTGCATATCATTAGAAAACTCTTTGCACAAGTGATCATTAGTAGCTCCAAAAATAAATCATCAACATAAATTTGCACTATAAGAATATTATTCATTTTTCTTTAGATAAATTAATGTTGTATCAACCTTTCCTCTTGTAAATTCTTTTTCCAAAATAAATTTACTAAGTCTTTCATACCATGCCCTACGAGCTTGTTTTAATCCATATACAACCTTTTTCAACTTAAAGACACGGTTTAGAAATTATGAGTTTTCAAATCTAGATGGTTGTTCAAAATATACTTCTTCTTGAATAAAATCATTTAGAAATGCACTTTTGACATCCATTTAATATATTTTGAAATTCATTATAGATGCATAGGCTATTAACATTTTAATGATTTCTAGTCTTGCTACAAGTGCATATGTTTCTTCGTAATCTATGCCTTCTTCTTGATTATATCCTTTAGCAACTAGTCTAGCTTTGTTTCTTATAATTATACCATGTTCATTTAATTTATTTCTAAATACCCATTTGGTTCCAATAATTGGATGATTATATGGTCTAGGGACTAGTTTCCATACTTGATTTCTCTCAAATTGATTTAACTCTTCTTGCATAGCATTTATCCAATGTTCATCATTTAAGGCTTCATCAATGATTTTTAACTTCTATTTTAGAAACAAAAACCAAATTATTGCATGCTTCTTTGAGAGAGTATTTAGTAGTTACCTCTTTTGATATGTCTCCAATGATATTTTCAAGAGGATGATTTCTTGAGATTCTCAACTCTCTTTGAGGAATCATGTTTGTTTGATTCTCTTAAATTATAGAATCCTCCATTCCTTCATCTTCTTTGTCCTTTTGAGTTTTCTCATATATATGAGTGTCTTCAAAGCTTTCTATTTTTCAATGTCAAGTATTTTTCTTTGTTGTTGTCTCAAATATAATGGCCAATCAAATACAATGGAAAGGAAAAATTACAAGAGTAAAAATGAGCCCAATATTAGGTACCAAAAGCCCAAAGGCCCACAAAGCCCAAAACTAGGCCCAATAAGCCTATGGCCTAAAATGCTATCCTAGATGGTCCAAAATACAAGACTTAAAATATAGAAAACCTATACTAACATGATATATACAAGATATAAGGAAATAGCTAAAACAAGATATAGCCCATGTGAAGCTCAACTTGGGCCTTTCAAGCCCATCGGGCCCATTGGGCTTTGACTGGCCCAACCCTTCATGTCTAGCCAACTCCTCTTGGCTCCTTCAATGTGTCATCCCTTGCCTTCCTAGGCATGATTCCATCACTATCAATCATGCAACATCTTCACATCACAATTCACAATCACACCAATCCATCACAAATCTCGCAATTAACCCTATGTCAAGGTCACGCCTGTAGCATCTCTTACTTGAGGTCGTGTCACCCCCGACATAAGCATTAATTGCCTCACACATCCCACCCTATGCCAAGGTCACGCCTGTTGCATCTCTTGCCCAAGGTCGTGCCACCCCCGACATAAGCATGAGAAATCACACATCCTACAATGTGCCAAGGTCATGCCTGTAACATCTATTGCTCGAGGTCATGCCACCCCCGACATAAGCATGAGGAATCACCCATCCCATACTATGCCAAGGTCATGCCTGTAGCATTTCTTGCCTAAGGTCGTGCCACCCCTGGTCACAAGTGGGAGGAACCACAATCACATTCTCATTCACATCCACATCCACATCCACATCCACATCCACATCTCAATTCCACAATATATACACAATCCACACAAAAAGGTGGTTCACATACCCCTCAAGTAATTCACCATGAATCCTCACCTAGATCATCAATTTTATCAAATAATATAACAATAACATTCATAAATTAATATAATAATCAATAAAGTTAGCAATTTAATATAATCTTAACATAAACGGTAAAATTCTCAATTATTCCAAAATTTAACTCACAGACACTTTTCTACAATTTCTTTCTCTCTCCCAGATCATCATTCTTACAAATTAAATATATATTTCACATCTTCAACATATACCGAATCTAATGGGATCATCAATTTCTCAAACAGAAATAATCCAATTTTTCCAAAACCTAGCCTACAGGCACTTTTCTATAATTTCGTTCTCTCTCCCAAATGATCATTCTTACAAACTAAATATATATCTATAATCCTAAATATATACAGAATCACATAAGACCAATAGTTCTCCAAACAGAAGTAATTATAAAATTACTCATAATCCTACGAGCTTCCTCTTCTACCCAATTCCCTCATGTAACTTTGCATACAAATAAT